TTAGAAGAGATATCTTGGTCACTCAGGGTGTTGGTTTAGTAGTAGGGTGTTTGTTCATTAAGATGGATCTTGATTTTCGTTTGTTTATTGTTTGATTTTTGTTTAAAATTACTGTGTTTTTAATAGATATACTATGGTTTTTTGAGTTGCAATGGTGGAAAACATGGGATGGTTTCCAACTTTTGAACCCTCAGCAAATTGTTTGTTCTATTATCTTTTCCTCAGATGATATTTTCCTTTATTAATTACATTGGACAGAAGACTTCTTGATATTTATGCACCTGATGTTTCACATACTGAATATTCAGAGTAGGCCTTAAAATTATATCAAGGTCAAGCCTTTCTATCTGTAAGTGTGAAAAAAAGATACCATCTGTTTTTTACCTGTTGTATTACCTGAATTGACTGATTTTGGTTCTTTGGAGGAAGAGAGTTTTTATGTCCTTTCAAAGTACTTTTTGTTATCTTGCAGGTATGAATCTTTTAGGAGTTCTCAGAAGAGATTGTTTATACTTGAAGATGAATCATGCTATTTGGATCCTGCTGTAACTACATTAACAAATTGAATTGTGCAATTGATCTGTTTTGTTCACCATGGTGTTCCTGAATTTTGTTTCATATCATTAAATTTGTCATTTGGCTATGTCTTTGGCATTTTAGTCATAGTACCCTTTAGAGGATATTCAGCAGGCCAGCATGTGGATGATTTCATGTGTGTTCTTAAAACTTTTGGTTACATCAATTTTCCTCTGATTGTGATTATTTAAGTGAGACATTATCTCTAGTAACTGATTTATTCTCTTTTACCCATTTGGTTAACACTTGGTTATTGCTGTAAGAGTGGTCAGGCCATGACCACATTGCAATTTCTATGGGGGTCTGTGGGCATGCACCCCCCAGAAAAGTTCTGAAAATTTAATGTTATGAGATTGAATTTTGAGCCATTTTAACTACAAGTACTGCATGCACACAACATAATGTATTAAATTAAAAAAAGCAAGTTGTAGCTATACATGCCATGAAAAAGTGGTCAGGCCATGGCCTTGCTGGTCTTACAGCTTCCTACGGCCCTGTGGGTCCACACCTTACATAGAGCTGGACAAATTAATCGAATAACCTATAAGTAACAATTATCAGTGTCACAAAAATAATCAACTAATTGAAATTAGAATTTCCAGTTATTACTGATTTTAAATATTCCCACAGTTGATTAATTGAAATTTTGACTAAATCAACTATTTGTTGTTATGCACAAAGCTGTATAATTGGGAAGTGGATGCCTCGTGATTTTAGGTTCATGTGTTTGAATACTAATGCTACTAAACTCTTCTACATTGTGTTATGTTTATAATTCATAATTGAGTAACTGTATTATTTAATGTTGTAATAAAAGGTGCAGATCTAGGGAGCCCCCCTCCCATTAATTTGTTTCAGAAGTTAATAAAAAAAAACAGCCAGATGTCATTAAATTACCATATAGTACCAAACAAATTAGATAATAATGTTTTTATTTGATTGATTTATTAATTACCACAAAGCTTTTTTGAGGTTTTTCTTAAATAAACACAGCTGGAGTGTACAGCAATCCAATTAAGGCCTCAGCCAGTAACTGGTTATTCCTTAACTAACACAATAATATAAATGCCAATTAAATGTTGCATGATAAATTCTCCTGTTTTGGCTTTTTCCATACACTAACATATATTCTAAATAGTAATACTACAACTGTAGTTCAAAGTCATGACAAAAGCTCCAATAGATGGTGCTCCAGTAGATGGCAATTAAGCTCTAAAAAGTTTTCAAGTTTGTAAGAAGAAAGTATGTTGGTTCTGGTCTTGTGTCTTTCCTGGGACGGGGTACACTGGCCCTCAGGGGTGGGGCCATCGGCTGTCTGGATCTGCTGCTAACATACACTTTAGAGATTTGTTTAAGTGAAAATTATAACATAGACTTGTTACAGAATCAATTTTTCATTGTTTAGAAGTTTGAATTCTAGCAAGAAAGATGTTTTACATATTGTTGAATTTTTAAAATAAATAAAAATGCAAGTGATATGAGTGTTTAAGTAATGGCCTTTTAAATATAATTTGAAAGCAGGCATAGATATACAGGTATGGTTTTAGTGTAAAATTATTCAAGTTATAAGGACTAAAAGTTAAGATTTGGGAAATATCGTGTGTCACATGACAACAAAACTGAAGTTCAAGATTTTTTTTTTAAGGGTTTCTTTTGAAATAAAGGAATTAAAACTTAGATAATATAAAACTTTGGATTATAACGTACATTAGAATACTGGTTTTATTGACATACGTTGATAGTAAAGTTGCGGGATTAAATGTTGAAAATAACACAGTAAAACTTCTTGGCATGTATAGAAAAGGGTACCTGTAAGCTTAGGGTTAAATGGTGTCTAGGGCTATGAGGTACCTTGCTGATAAGAATGCTTTTTTTTCTGAGTGTCTTCAGTTGGTCCACTGTATTAAGAGACTGGTCCATTCCACTTAATTCTCCAATGAATCCAGTCCATTGACAGTTACTCTGATTATACTTAAGTTCTGCTTGATTAACAGTCCAGTTTTTTAGTGAAGCAGTGGCTCGTATGATTCTCTCTAGTTCCCTCCTCCATCTCATGGTGGGAATTCTGGGTTTTAAAATGTTATAGGTAACTCTAAATGTTTTGAATTGTACACTTCTAGAATCAAAATGGATTTCAGATAGGTACTTTTTTCTGAAATACATTCTCATCTTCCTCCCCAAAACTGAGAGATATGTGGTTTTCCATCGAGGCTGCAACTACAAAATTTAGATTATAGCAGGAAAACAGAGTATGTATATGGCCTCCTGATGTAAGCACAATAAATCACATGAAAGAAGGGAGAGTGTAGAACTCTGGGTAAGCCCAAACACAGGATATAAATGAACTATTAATTAGTTTTTAGTGGGATAAAAAACAATTAGTAACTAATTAATAATTAAGAGCTTAGGCTACTAACCATGACAGTGATTGAAATCTGATTTCTACAATCTTGCTACAAGAACATGTTTTTTAATGTTAATAAACATTACAAATTTGTCATCTCTACAGGGATTAATGAGTCAAGAATCATCTTCAAAAGTGGCCTCAGAATATAAATCTTCAGAAGGAAATGTTATAAACATTGACCTGGAGCTGCTAAGTAACTGGGGGCATCCAGACAGGATTGGCTTAACTGAAGTCCAGTTATACGACTCATCAGGAAAACTGTTAGATGTTAAACCAATGGATGTTAGTGTGGAGGGAAGTGGAAGTGTAGTTGGGGAAGTAGGAAATCTGGTGAATGGAAAGACCAAAGTAAGTTGGGCTACACTGACCATAGAAAACAATGTTCTGATATTTTCTCACTCGACATAGTAAGAGTAGTGTTATGCACCTGTTTTATTCTCAGTTATCAGTGATACATCAATTTAAATGATCAAATTTTAAGCCATATTCATGTCAATTCCTTGGTCGTAAACGAACCTCGTCATAAATATAATGATTAAATGGCACCTGTGCATGTATAAAATATTAAAAAATGCACCTACACCACATATTTGTATACAATAAAATAAATTTTATTGAATTTGGACACGTTCTTACACAGAGAGCTGTTGAAACATGTAGTTTTCTTCTTTTTATTTAGGGTTGATCCCTATTTTGACAAACTTTATTTTATTGTGTGACAATTAATGTTGGATGTGTACTTTTTAATATTTTAAATCTTATCATTTTAACTTATTGTCCCAAGACTAGGTAAAGTAATTGTGTAAAAGAAATGATATCTTGTATTAGTAATTATTCTTTGTATATCTTCTGACTTGATTCTTAAACTTTTATTTTAAATGTTTTAGCTCATATATATTAATTTGCTCAGAATTGTGTTTTGTGCACGACATAAAACTAAAATAGTTTAGTTACATTTATTACAATTTTAAGTAGTTTGGCTCGTACGTGTTACTTAAAAAATGATAAAGATGTTAAAATATTTTGGTGCTTCATATTTATGACTTGTGATATTGTGTACTGAAGTAACAGTGTTTTTGTTTTTAAAGGTTATAATCAACATAATGTTATTTTTACTCTTGTAGGTTATCAAAAAATATAAACCATTTTTATTTTATTAATTTGTTATTTAACATACTTTTTAATAAATTTGGTTATGTATTTTGATTTTTAGACAGTCAAAGAGCGGCATATGTGGAGCTGTTCCTTTCAAGAAGGAAAAACTGTCACTATTAGATTCAGTCTTCCATCCATCAGTGCATCAACACAGGGAACCTTAGATTCATATTCTAATTGTAAAATTTCTGCTATCAAGATATGGAATTTCAACCATAGTATAAAGGTGGGAAGTTGAATGTTTGTGTTAAGGAGTAATACAAATGCCTTTTCTAGGTATGCCTCAACTCTTACCTCTTAAAACGCAATCCAAAAACATAAGTACAAAACTCTTAATGGAACTACAAAAAATATTTTCTTAATTTCTGGCTCTGCTAAAAATTAAGATATATTTTTCTGCATATGTCATTTAAAAGTAAACCATAAAGAAAATAAACAAACATAACAAGTAATTAAAAATTAAGATATATTTTTCTGCATATGTCATTTAAAAGTAAACCATAAGGAAAATAAACAAACATAACAAGTAATTAAAAATTAAGATATATTTTTCTGCACATATCATTTAAAAGTAAACCATAAGGAAAATAAACAAACATAACAAGTAATTAAAAATTAAGATATATTTTTCTGCATATGTCATTTAAAAGTAAACCATAAGGAAAATAAACAAACATAACAAGTAATTAAAAATTAAGATATATTTTTCTGCACATATCATTTAAAAGTAAACCATAAGGAAAATAAACAAACATAACAAGTAATTAAAATTTAAGTTTTATTTTTCTGCATATGTCATTTAAAAGTAAACCATAAGGAAAATAAATAAACATAACAAGTGATTAAAATATGTAAGTAAAATATCATGCATGTACTGAACTTGTACATTATTTTTTTTTACCTTTCTAAGAATTTTACCTCTCAACTTTACCTTCTTCCTCAACTTTTTGGCATTTGTTATCTTTTACATAGAATAATTTGATGTGCTTTATCATTTCTTATATGTTCTGTTAATAAAATCTCTGATTCAATCACCAACAGCCATGTACTACTACATTTCTCTGGTATTTTCTGACTTGTATGATCACATTTCTTCTTGATACTTCCTTGAATGCGCTTATACCCTGGTAATACAATTTTCTTTTTTATATATTTACATCAAAGTTATCCCTTCTGCTTTAAAGTGTTACATCATTTTCTTCTATATTTGACTAAACACTGAAGATCTTTAGACTTCTTCGTCTGTTTTCAAGGGACTTATACTAGGGTATGTCTGAACTGCTGTGACAGATCACATCTCCCTCCAATGAACTAGCTGTCACACAAAAAGTATTGACCATTGATGTTGTACCCAGGCACGTAGTTTGTTTGAAGGTTATTTTTCAAAGACTAGTGCTACTTCTCAAGAAGTGTCAGACATCCCTGTGATTCTTCCTTTCCAACCTCCATTTTGGTGTGGGCATTGTAGATTAGAGTTATTGTTAAGGTATCACATTTAATTTAACATTCTGGAATTGAACTGTAAATAAAAGAGAGAATTATTAACTCTTCCAACACAGGGTCGGTCGATTTGATTTATGTCAACTTTAAACGAGTACAGAAGGTCACGTGACTCGGGCTACTTAGGATGAACAAATATAGTTTCAGGTTACAATCTGAAGTCATACTAGAAAGAAAAGAAGGTTAATTTAGGTTTATTTCGATTTTTTTTTGGTGGTTACGAGGTCAGTCAAATTGAACGATCCAGTTTTGAGATTAGGGTAGAGAAATTAACATATAAACTATAAGGATTTAGTGAAAAAAACTTTGAAATGCATTTAGGACATTTTAGGGATTACATAAAGGAAATCTGAGATTTTTGAGATAACGAAAAGTATTTTTAATTTTAACAAGAAAATTACTTTGCACACGGACTACTCAAAACAAATATTCAATATATTCATGGACAAAACTTTATTTTATTTTAGTAAAAGTACTTCACTAAGAAATATGACTTTTTGTATGTGAAAGACTTGTAATATTAACTGAAAGACTGCCAAATTTCGTGAAGATATACCCAATATATAGAGAGTTATAAATATTAAATCTAGTTTCGTAACATTATACATCTATTTATAATTAAATTTTACTGTTTTATTGCCAATTGAACTGTGTCTAACTGCTATTTGTGCCATTATAAGTTGTAAATCACTCGAGGAACGTGCAGCTCACGTTACGCTATCGAATTACATTACCAAGCTGCTCGCATGCCTGCTTCGTGAACAATTTTAATTATATTATTATTACTTATTTTACCTATTCTAGTCTTAAATAACTGAAAAAGATCCACACTTTTAATTTTAGTTATTTTATAATAATAATAAATAAAGAATAAATATGAAAAACAAGAAATAAAGTACTTACCCAATCTTTGTTTTTTTCTTGCCCTCGATTGTCGAGAAGAGTTAAGCCTGATTTTTTTAGCGATTATGGTAAAGCACTTAACAATTTTTATTTACTTAAATAATACATCAAAGAATATAGACTAATAACGTGCAAAAGTAGACAAATTCACTTACTTCTAAAAACTTTTCTGGCTTTCTAACAATGCCACAAAAGCCGTTACAAATTCATCAAAGCCAGTCGTTAACTTTCCCACGGAAATAAATTACAACTCCCAGTGACATTGATGGTTATCTGTTAAAAACACAATATTATACAAAACGCCATTTGATACATGAAAACCTTGACTTTCTATTGGTTATAAACAATATATAATGAAACGTAAGAGAGAACTATCAACCAATTGTGAAAGGGAGGATGTGACAGGTGGGTGTGGCAGGAGGGGTCTGATTTTCTCTTTGATAGCTCTGTAGAAAACAAAACTGAAGCCCATAAAAATTATGGACTGTTTAAGCAATAACGATTTTATAGAGTGCATTTCACGTTTAATTTAGTACATTTTCGAGGGGTGATGGATTAAATAGGGATGATGACATAATTAGACAAAATTTGTCATGCGTGTTACACTAGTGGAAAAATCAGGATTTTTTATATATTTCCATTTAGAATTAAGAACTTAAAACTTGTATACTATTAAAATATGGATTAAGACTTTATGCTATTCTAATTGGTACAACATAAACAAAAGATAGTTTAATAAAATTTTGGATGTAATGCACTAAAACCCTGTGTCATGCGCAGTAAAAGGTACTCCGTGCCGAAAGAGTTTTAAACAGTTGGTCGCAAAGCTGGTTATGAAACTGAGTAAAAATAAGCAACCATGAGATCATTTGAAACGGAACCACAATTATTTCTTGCTGTCCATAAAGTGACAGTTTGTTTTGTTTTTGGATTTCGCGCAAACCTACTCGAGGGCTAATCTGCGCTAGTTGTCCTAATTTAGCAGTGATTAACCAGAGGGAAGAAAGCTAGTCAACGCCACCCACCGTTACGTCTTGGGCTACTCTTTTACCAGCGAATAGTGGGATTGACTGTTACATTATAATGTCCACTCGGTTGAAAGGGCAAGTATGTTCAGTAACGGGGATTCGAACCCGCGACCCTCAGATTGCTAGTCGAGAACCATGCCAAGTTTAAACTGATAGACAAACTGTGGATCGGTATATACAATTTTCTAGAATTTTCTAATACAAAGTCAAAAAGAGTCAACCGTTCAGGATAAACGCTATACAAAAATTGAGAACTTTCACCAAAACCGTACAAATTGCTATTTGTTGACATCATCAGACTCCAGATCTTGGTGTAAATGTGGTCGCGTAACAATTTTTTTTTTTGCTCATGTTGTTGGTTGTTGTTAAGCGCAAAGCTACACAAAGGGCTTTCTGTGCTCTGTACACCACGGGTGTCGTAACCCGGGCTCTAGCGGTAAATGTCCGCAGACGTACTACTGTGCCACTCGTGGGGGGGGGGGGGGGCTTATGTTTTCAATTTCAAACTTATCACACCCATAAAGAGCATTGGTTAAATCTATCCAACAATGCAGAAAATACAGGACGTCTAGCTGTCTGAGGTAACAATATATTTTTTGAATACGGACTCTTAGTTTTGTTATCTAAATAACAAGACTTATTTGTTTTCCCAATTCATCAAAACACAATATTCACGTTTTTTCTTTGTTTTTTTAAGTTAGTTTGTTTTTAAAGAGCAATGTGATTTTTGTTATTTATTTGTTTTCGATTCTCGTGAAACAAAGTTGAAACGCATTAAATATGTATGGAAAATACGTATATATATATAATAAATGGTAATTTAAATCATGTTTCTTCTACATGCTAAGGAAGCTTGTTTACTATATCTGAAGACAGAAAAATAAGTAGCCATATTTGAATACAAATCGCAAGTTTATTGCTAGAGAATATTAGTACAAAAACACTCTTAATCGTACTAAGTTTTTTTACTTAACTGTAAAGGATGTTGAAATTTTGTTCTTCAATTTTCTTCAGAGTAATAAACTTAATGTAAAAGATAGCTTTGAGAATTCAAGCGCCCTTGATAATGTTTCTATTTTTCATGGCTAAAAATTAATTTTAGAATATTTTCCTAGGCTAATTAAAGCGCCCTTGATAATGTTTCTATTTTTCATGCTCTAAGGCTAAGAAAATATTCTAAAATTAATCTTTAGCTATGAAAATAGAAATATTATCAGGGGCGCTTAAATTAGCCTATGAAAATATTCTAAAATTAATCTTTAGCCATGAGAATAGAAACATTATCAAGGGCGTTTAAATTAGCCTATGAAAATATTCTAAAATTAATCTTTAGCCATGAGAATAGAAACATTATCAAGGGCGTTTAAATTAGCCTAGGAAAATATTCTAAAATTAATCTTTAGTCATGAAAATAGAAACATTATCAAGGGCGCTTTGAATTAGCCTAGGAAAATATTCTAAAATTAATTTTTAGCCATGAAAATAGAAACATTATCAAGGGCGCTTGAATTAGGCTAAGAAAATATTCTAGAATTAATCTTTAGCTATGAAAATAGAAATATTATTCTTGTGACCTTAACTCACTCTCTAAACTTTTGTGTTACTGTCAGTTACTCTAATCTCAAATGTTGCTTGTAGTTCTAACAGATTGAAAGATATTTATTTCGAGCTCCAAGGCTATACTTTGTAAAACCAAAACCACTATCTATTTACCACTAGGAAATAAAGGAAAACACAAAAAGCTAAGGTATTTATTATTGTACACTTTTAAATTACGGATAAAACAAGATTCGTG